AGCAACAGCAGCAGCAGCAGCAGCAGCAGCAGCAGCAGCAACAGCAACAGCAGCAGCAGCAGCAGCAGCAGCAGCTGCAGCAGGTGGCCTTCCTTTTTTTCTGTTTCCGCTGTTTATACGCACGAGACTTCCTCAGACAACTCCACTGCAAATTATTTATTTATTAATTTTTAATTATTTTAATATTTTGATTTTATTAAACAGATTTTGTTGTTGTTCTGGGGTGTATAGTCAGCTCCGCAGCCTTCGGCTGTATCTGCAGCTTTGTACATGTATATACATATATATATATATATTTGTTTTTTATTTGTATGAAAATAGTTTATTTTTATGTTATTTATCTATTAAAACAATTAAAATGAATATTTAAATGTAAAGAAAAGATATTAAAGAGACTAACAAACAAGAAAAAGAAGCAGAGAGCTGCTGTTTGTTGTTGCTGCAGCTGTTAGGATGTTGCAGAGTATAAAGTAAATAAATATAATTATAATTTAATAAAAATAAAAATAAATAAACCGAATTTAAATATCTAAACACATTTAAATATATTTTTTCTTTTTGTTTGCTGCTGCGAAAACAGAGCAGCAAAAGTGAAGGGCCCCCTGTTACATTAATTTACTCAACAAAGAAATAATATATATTTATTTATCTTTAATTCTTTTTAATTTAAATAATAAACAAAAATAAATACAAATAAATATAATAAAATAAATAAAAAGAAAATAAATAACACTCAAGCAACAAGAAATATATTATTATCACCGCCACCGCTGCTGCTGCTGCTGCTGCTGCTTCATCTTCTACTGCTGCTGCTGCTGCTGCACGGCTAAGAAGACCTTTGATAAGGACGGCTGTTTGTTGATTGTTAAGAGTTCTTTCTTGTTTTTTTTGAGGGTTTGAATGAATAAATAAGCGTCTTATTACTTTGAAATAATAAGTTTATGCTTTTTAATTTTAGGGTTTAGGGTTTAGGGTTTAGGGTCTCTCTTCTACTCTACTCTCTCGCTGTTTGCTGCAGACGAAAACAAATAATAAAATATATCTTTTTATCTCTATTTAACAGCCTTTAATTGTACATTTATATTTAAATATTATATTTTATTTATTTAAACAATCTTCTCTCCTTCAGTAACAGCAAAAAAAGAAGAAGTTAAAATAATTTGAAGTGAGACAAATAAACAAATAATAAATATTAATTTAATTAATTGTTTGCAGATTAATTAAAATAAATATATATAAATATAGATATATAAATATATATAAATATATATATTTATATATATTTATATATTTATATATTTATTATTTTCTTTGTTTTGTTTTTGTTTGCAGCTGTCTCTGCATCGGCTTGTAAGCCCCTCTCTTCTCTTTAATTGATATTATATTTATTTTTATTAATTATTAATTTTAATTGTGAATATTTATTTATATTATTTATTTCGATAATAACAAACTAAGAAAATGTATAACAACAAGACTTCAGCAGCAGCAGCAGCAGCAGCAGTTGCTGCTATCTCTAACTCTAATTCTTTACCTTCTTCTTCTTCTTCTTCTTCTTCTGCTGCTGCTGCTGCTGCTTCTGCTGCTGCTTCTTCTGCTGCTGCTTCTGTGTCTGCTTCTTTTGCTGCTGCTTCTCCTCCTGCTTCTTCTGCTGCTTCTCCTTCTGCTACTTCTTCTGCTGCTTCTCCTTCTGCTGCTACTTCTTCTTCTGCTGCTTCTTCATCTTCTACTGCTGCTGCTCCTGCTGCTTCTGCTGCTGCTGCTCCTTCTGCTTCTGCTGCTGCTGTTCCTTCTTCTTCTGCTGCTTCTTCTTCGTCTTCATCTTTATCCTCATCTTCTTTATCTTCACCTTCTCTATCTTTATCTTCATCTTCTTTATCTTTATCTTCACCTTCTTTATCTTTATCTTTTTTTAATGCTTTGAAGAGAAGAGCAGCAGGGATTGAAAACAGCGGCAATACATGTTACTGCAGCGCTGTGCTGCAGTTGTTGTTTGCTGCTCGAAGTTTATGTCTTTATTTTTTGACGATAAATTATAAAAATTATCAATTTAATAAAGACTCGCTATTCAAAGGACATCTCTCTTTAGCTTTGGTGAAGCTGCTGCAGCAAGTATATACCAGCAGCAGCAGCAGCAGCAGCAGCAGCAGCAGCAGCAGCAACAGCAGCAGCAGCAGCAGCAAGAGAAGGGTATTGAATTGCAGCACATTACTGCGTTTATTAAGAAGAGAATATGCTGAGTTTAGAGGTAATAGACAGAGTGATGCACATGAGTTTTTATGTATATTACTTGAGTGTATATCTTGCGAGACAAATCGGGTGTATATTGCTGATCCTAAAGAGGATATAAAAGATACAAAGCAAGAAAACATTCAAGAATGTAGTGCTAAGTCGTGGTATGAGAGCTTAAGAAACGAAAGGTCTATCGTCACAGATCTATTCGCAGGACAGCATTTAACTTATATTTTATGCTCAGGCTGTAATTCACAAAGATCTCACTTTGATATCTTTTTAGATTTACAGCTGCACTTCTCTGACGCCGATCGACCCGCTTCTTCTCGTGAAACCCTCGAACATATCCTTCAAAATACTTTTCTTTCTGAACCAGTAAGCATTATATATATATAGATATATATATTTATTTGTTTATATTTATATATGTTTGTTTATATATATATATATATTTTGTTGTTTATATATATATATATATCTTTATCTATGTTT